ACTTCCTGTTCTTAATAGTCCCCGCAACCCGAGCACCTTGTCCTGATGCTTACTATACAACTCTATTCTACGTAGGTGCCCGCGCGCTATTCGGCCGCGTCGAGTACAGAACGGCAAGACGGCGGCGTATCTCGACACACATTGCCAGGCGCACGGAAACGAAAAACAAAACCAGAGAGGCTTTAAATGACCTTTGGAACGAATGATTTCCCTTTCCCTTAACAGGTAACTGAAACGAAATGGGAGCCACAGGAAGGCTTTCGCCCTGGGTAGAGGTTTAGACGCCACGCAAACGCACTAGAATTCGGGGGGAAACCTTTTTAATTCCCTGACTCATGCGTATTGTCTCCTCGTCTACCAACTTGCCCACAACAAAGATGGATTCTCGCAGGCAGCCCGCTCCGCCACCGACCCCCCCCTCCGCCGCCCCGAAAACTATRCATTTAAATTAAGCATAGCAGCCATTTTTCTTGAGGGCAAAGCGCCAGCCGGAAAGTCACACCTTACCTTGTCTCAGAAACTCCAGACGCCATTAAATCACCAAGTGTCCAATCGGAATCGACATTTTTACCGGAACCGCTCGGCCTCGCGACCGGAAGAGGGTGTGCGTAAGGGTGTTGGGGGCGGAAGTGACGGGAAAGTGGTAGTGGGGTAGTTGGCGGGTGGTTGAGTAGAGCCGGTCGCCATGTCCGCGGGGAGCGCGACACATCCTGGAGCTGGAGGGTAAAGCTTTGTGGGCGAGGGCATCGTAGCGAGCTTGAGGGCATAGGAGAGGCGGAGGGACCGTGGGAAGCTGCGTATGGGTGGAGGGGCACTTAAGCTTAATGGAAGGCCAGATTTTTAGGGAGAAGGGTATTGAGCAGGCCTCGGGCCCCTGAAAAGGGCTGGCAAGGATCGGAGGGGAAGGGAACCAGGAATTAATGGAAATGCGAGGCAAGGAGAAGGCAAAAAGCAAGGGCATGTGGGACCGAGAGAAATCTTTCGATTGAGGTTACGGGAAAGGAAGAGTTTAGGAAGGGATTGACAGAAATGGGGTTTGAAGGAAATGCTGTACTTGTCTAAGGAGAGATGGGAATTTTAGACCTGGTAGGAGGTAGACGAATGTGGAACATGACAGACGGGAAATGGGGTGCTGAGGCGTAGTAAGGGAAGAATGGTACACAAGAACGCTTTAGGGCTTAATGTTTTCCTTTTTCTACCTGTAGGCGCCGCAGCAAATGGGACCAACCTGCTCCAGCCCCACTTCTCTTCCTCCCACCGGCGGCCCCAGGTGGTGAGGTCTCTAGCAGTGGGGGAAGTCCTGGGGGTGCCACAGCTGCTCCCTCAGGAGCCTTGGATGCTGCTGCTGCTGTGGCTGCCAAGATCAATGCCATGCTCATGGCCAAAGGGAAGCTGAAACCAACACAGAATGCTGCTGAGAAGGTATTCAAAATCGACKTCTGGGCTAATTGCAATTTTAGGAGTTTTATAATGCTGTAATCTCATATTTGTTACTGTTAATGAAGGAGAATAGGGATGCCGTAATTTAAATATTGTTTAGTTTTGGAGCATTACTGATGGTATTTTAGATGGCTGTTTTGATTGGGCTGGTTTCATTTATGGACTGAGTAGCTTGTGCTTGTATGCTTCACTCAAGTTCTATTGACTTAATCATTTAAAAGCAATGTAACCTTTTTGTTGTTGTTGTTGTTGGAACTTTATTTTGTTTACTTATTTATATGTGGTAATGAGGATTGAACCCAGTGCCTCACTAGGCAAGCACTTGGCAAGCGCTCTACCACTGAGCCATAACCCCAGCCTCTGTAATCTTTTTTTTTTTAATATTTATTTTTTAGGTGTAGTTGTATACAATGCCTTTATTTTATCTATTTATTTTTATGTGGTGCTGAGCATCGAACCCAGGGCCTTGCACTAGGTGAGCGCTCTACTTCTGAGCTACAACCCCAGCCCTGAAATCTGTTTTTGATATACGTACTTTGTTCCTGAAGTCAGAATAATTCAAGTACATTAACTGAATTTGAGAGTGTTGCTTCTAATTAGAATCTAATAACTTTAATAACTGTGTTATTAAACTTGAACTAAAATAGAGTTATAATTTNGCATAGCTCAATGGCAGAGCACTTGCCTGGCATGTAGAAGGCCCTAGGCTTGATACCCAGCACAGAGGGAAACACAACACACACAACAGAGAGAGGGGKTGGGAGGAAGGGAGCCGGAAACAGGTCGAAATGGGTCGAAATGTTTGTGAACCACTTGGTTATAGCAGATCCAATATGCAGTTGGCCAATGGAAATAGACATCATCTTTCGAAGATCTGGACTTAGGAGTCTTAGGAAGAAAGTGGGTATTGGACAAACCCATGGAAGAAAAGGTCCAGTASCTCTTTGAATGCTGTTGGTGGCCTTCCCAAATCTATTTCTCCCTTCTTCCTTTATAAAGGACCTAATTTTGTTCCAATATCATTCCTCCCCTATAAGCCTACATGACCTGGAAGAAGCTAAATCTATTCCTAACTCTAGGAGTTGATCCTGATTAGTTTAACCAATTACAATACATCTTAAAGTGGATGTGGTAGTGCATTCCTATAGTCCCACCTATTCAGGACCAGCCTGGGCAACTTAGTGAGATGTTGTCTCTTGTTTTTTTTAAAAAAGTATATATAAAATATCTCTCTACATGTATATATGTGTATATGTGTATATATATAGAGAGAGACAGACACACACAAAGAGATCTCTCCATCTCAAGGCTGCAAATGGTTCAAGAGCCAAGGCTTAAACCAATGGTTAATCAATTCATGATATTGCTCAGATGACCATTGTTAGTGCACAAGTTAACCCAATCAGACCAAAATGGAAGAATGGTTTTTATTCTGAGTGGCAGAGGGTATTTCTCTTTCTTGTTGGACCTAACAGCATGTGGCCCAACTGTGCCTGCACTCATTTTGTCACCATGAAGGAAGTCAATCTAAGTCCCATACTTCAATGGAGGCAGACAGAGTAGAGAAACTGAGCATGCACTATCTTTAAATTTCTAGTATTGGGAGATGATACATTTTATTAATAAGTCATTTTGAGTTTGATTTTCTGCTTTTGTAATGAGAAGCATCCTGGCTTGAACGAAGGGATGAAGGATTGATGAATAGTAATTTTTAGGGTAGAAGGGAGCAGACTATGTGTTGCCAGCCAGCCATGGGCTGTGGATGTGAGCTATGCACATTTGATTGTATGAGGGGACTGGCCTGACGTTGCTGCCTGATTGATCTCTTGCTCTRCCTGTGATCCCACATAGCACCTAAGATGGGTGTGGCTTTCCAAGATGTCAATCAACCTGCTGACCACAGGACATCACCAAGCAAGACTCCACCCTTCCAAGCCCAATCCCTGGCCTTATTTGGGTGGAATATTCTATAAATGTCTTTCCCCTAAATGAATAGAGGGGCTCGGGGTGTGCTCGCTTTCTTGCCTCTTGCCTCCCTTGCTCCTCTTGCCCTCAGGCATGGGAGCTGAGATCTCAGAGCTGTACCTGACCCCGGAAAAAGATATTTCTGTGCTTGTGTGGGTTTTTATTTGCCAGCCCAGCCATCTGGCGACAACTATGTTTACCAAATTTATTACTTACGTTAGTAAAAGAGAGATGGTAGGCATACTCATCTCTCCCAGCAGAGCAGAGTGCAAATATTCTAGTTGTAGGATTCTGGGGAGGCTGGAGTTCAGGGATTGGTAGATTTTTAGAGATTTAAGTAGAAAGACATTATCTTTAGCGGATGGTTACTCTGGTAAGACTGATAGTGGCCAGTTTATTGGCAATTGTCTGACTTCATGAAGCATAGGGCTGACACTGATCAGATGGTGTTCACTTAGGCAAACTTGTGTTGACTGATTCAACAAGTGTAAACAGTACTAACAGCTATGTATTACTATGCTTACAGAATAATTAAATCAATCTCTTTATAAATTCATGAAAAAAAAG